TGCGTTCCTCTAAGTCTTCCTACCATTATGAACAAATTGTGAAAACAAGGTCAAACAACTTCAATTACACATTAGGATTAGCAGACAATTACGTATCAAGTGTAGTTAACAGGATTAAGGCAGTTTGCTTTCAGGCGCGGGACAGGAAACTGGACAATTCTACTCGGTTCCTGATTTTGCCTTCCCGTCAGCTTGCGAACAAGTTGGATGAACCACTGACGAAATGGAACATTCGAACAATGTATAAAGAGAAATGAACACTTGCTTCTGTAGCTCCTTCGTGTAGAAAATATTCAGATCCTCTTTCAAGCTTTTTGTGCTTATGTGATAAGGAATATGTGTGGGAGACCTGTCGACCGATTCACAAGAGGCGATGTGAACACAAAACCGCTTGTAAAGGTCTGTGGTTCCAAAATATGAGCTCATTAAACACATTTTGAGAATACAGGACAGTCAATTGACTGGTCCAGAACTCAACATCTTGCGGGTTACGGGGACTTTACGTCCTCGAGTCTATCACACTTCCTATGACATGAGCATTACATACACACAATAGACAGTAGCACAAGTCCAAACATGATTCAGCATTAGGCGATCGTACGCTAGTTTCTGTGTGTGATGAAACAGTTGCCAACAAATGCATTTCAGGTTCTAGAAGTTAACTTCACTCATTAGCGAGCATGTAAAGTAAGGTTGAAGTATCCAACCAAATCAGAAGAGGCATCATCAGGATCGCCATTTTGGGTGTATGAAAAAAGCGACTAGGGTTGCAGCCACCCACCTTTTCTCTTGTTTTAGTACCTTTTTCATCTATTCCCTAAAGCATGCAATCTTGTTCTGATGGTGTCTGTCACAGTTTATCTGCACAATTCAACAGTCTTCCTTACGCGACAATCCTCCTTCAGCTTCCAATGAGACCATATCACGAATTTCCTTCAACCAACTTTCCCTTCGAAATGGTGTGTCGTGCCACAATATTCCATTAAGGAATTCTTTGAAACCCAGTTTTTCTTCACAACTCTTGATCATTTGTTGGCCTGAAGGTTTTCCATCATTCGGCTTCAGCATGGTTGGTCTCTCGCAATCGAGATGAAAGACGAAATCTAGGCCAATTCTTACATAAACCGAAAGAGCATGTTTCAAGAACTGCATCAATCTGTGCATTGCAGTAAAAGCAAACGAATTTAAAGCAACGGTAATCACCCATCGTCTTCTAGTGACATCGACAAGTACTCGACGCCGTCTGGATCTCGTTGCCACCCACAAAGGGATTATAATCCTTGTTCATGATCTGCTGATAGCATAAAAGTCTCTTCATGCCAATCTACGTAGTCGATTATTATGACCTGGCCGAGGTGGAAATTGTGTTCGAGTCTGGATGAGAATACTTTATGGGCAGCAAGACTAAATGGAATTCAGTGGAGATATGAGGCCTTCTCATATGCCAGTGGGAAAATTCAAATATTAATCCTTCATCATCTTAAGCGACCTAGTGCGATTAGAATTGTTATTTGTTATGAAATGTGTGAAAACGAGTTATTCCTACCGAATCGACTTTAGCTTTATGACTTCCTATTAACAAATGTACTCGTTTCACTAAAAGAAAGCTTATTTACTTGTCTGATTCTTTGAGTATTTTTGCTTGTATACATATTCCAAATAACAATGCAATAAGTAAATGTGGATCTAACCGATATGTCTTAGATACATTTATATAATATTGTAAAATGGTACAAGTACAAACTTCTCCCGACACTAGTTAGCCATGAATCTAAATGAAAAAATGGTACTTTCGTCTCGCGCTAGAAGCCATTTGTCTGGTAATAGAACGAATTAACATCATTTTAATAAAATGGCCATAAGCGTGATGTTGTCTTTTTCCAGTTGTGAACTACTATTTCACTAACGACCTGACCTAAAAGAGATATAATGCTCTATAAACCGAACTCGAGGTACAGAAAAGGATTGAGGCGTGTGAAGCAATGATATATATGAGAAGTATGTGAATTGTTTATTTGTATAAGTGGATTGAAGAGAGTTTACGAAGAACGGGGGCGATTTCAATTATCTCCATATTAATTGTGGGAATGGGATATGATTGATGTGTATGTTAAAGACAAAGTCTTTCTTATGGCTATGAGGTTGAAAAAAAGTAATACTATAATTTAAAAGTGAAATTCTGTGTTCTTCAAGAATGACATATCCACAGATTGTGTTAGTGCCAGTTAAGACAAAGCCCTGATCTCAAGGAGAGATGTTATGCCGTGAAATAGCTGCGCTTGCGGCGAGTTGACCTACCTGATCTCAAGACCGTTTTCTCGTTCAGTCAGGCCGAGGACGGCCTCTACATTCACTGCGTCTGGTGACAGTCGTGATACAGAGAACCGAGAATCACTCGAGATCTGCCGGCCGTCGATGAAGGTGACTTCTGCTCGCTTGGTCGGATCAAGAGCTCGACAGACGAAAGAGAACCTTCGATAGGGCTGTACACTGATCCGTGAAGGCGTCACCTCGACATTGTAGTCTTGCGTGTGGATGAGGTGGGGGAAAAACAAGAAAGAAGTGAACTGGAAGTGAGGCAATTTGGTAGAATTGAACGCATTGTGAAGGCAATTTCTCTTTCTTGAACACGGTCTCATTATTAAAGAACAAATAATGCAGCTTTTTCCATAATGATATGAGTAAGACTGACAGTTCCACTGAATTTCACTCTTTTTCCTAAATTACAATTACGTTTGGATTGACGATGAGGAAGGCATTCAGTTAGTCTTATAATCAACGATGGAGTGTATTTGTGATGAAAGCGGTTAAGAAGGAAAAAATTTTGGAAATAAAACAAATCGAAATTCACTAATGCCATGAGGTCCCCATATTTCATACTAAAATCTATTCTCAATTCTAAAATGTGTATTTCCAGTCAAAACTTACTCGTATTCGTATTAGAGTAGGGTTTCGAGACTACCAGTAAATCAGTGTAATGAGATGTATTCACCCTATTTCGTGTAAGTTGATGAAGGACTGGTAGTAGAATTGTCCCACAATGATATGAGTTTAGCTGACTTTTCCATTGAATTTTCACATTAAGGGATTGGTAGTAGAATTTTCCCACAATTATATAAGTTGAGCTGACGTTTCCATTCAATTTCACATAGCATTGCTTTCCCAAAAGTTGTTCTCATCGCGGCTGGAGTGGACTGCAGTTTCGACCTCGCATTGGTCTTATCAACACCCTCAGCGGGATTCGAACCGCG